ACCCTAAGCCCCGAACCCCGACTTAGCCTCAACCGAAGAAACTCTGAACACTGAAGCCTGAAACCCCTGAGCCCCGAACCCAAACTTAAACCCCCAAACTCCTAAGCCTAAGCACAAAAACCGCAAACCCTACATCCGAATACACCCTTCTGACCGAACCTTCGTGTGTCAGGATTGGGTAATCTAGGGTTTGGGTTTATAGTTTAGGGTTTAAGAGGGTCGTGGGATGCCACCCCCGGCTTCAAGGTGAATTCAGTCCTTACTGGTCCCATTGGGATATATGTTTGCTTTGAAACCTTAGTTTTAAACCCTTTACTGCTAAGCTTAGACTTAGACTAAAGCTCGGCACAGGGAAGCCACATGCGACGGCAGCATCTCCTTGGCTTTGCAGGCCGGACATATTTGTAGAAATGACTTCATTCTCAATTCATTTGTCAATCTCTTACTAAATAAAATGATTGAGCTGGGGTTCGCTCTGCAATCTTCTTCACATGTTCCTTTCGTCGTTTCTTTTCAGCTTTCTCGTGCTCTATGGCATCACTCTGAAGTTTCCTTTTCTCTCTTGGGCATTCCGGCTTGTAGGTGCCAGCTTGAAAAGCAAGGATAGCCTTCTTGCGGTGCTTCTGCCGGTTGAAGCTGAGCTCTTGCTCGTGTTCAGCAGACCACATGTCTTCGGCCAGTCGCTTCATCCATCGTGGCGAGGGCACCTTGTCGTCAGAGGATGATACCGCAGCTTGCACGGCCTGCCGGCGCTTCTTCAAGAACACAGTCTCGCACTGCATCGGCGATTGGACTTTCTTCTTCTTTCGTCGCATACAAAGTCTTTTCGCAGACTTAGTTTTCAGAGGATTTGAAAGCAATTCTCCATGAAATTTCAAAGGTAGGGCTCCAATTGCTGAGGTGGCAACTTTTCGGCAGTTGCCATATACCGCTGCCTGGAATGGAAGCATTGCACTGATTAAATTAGTAGCCAAGATATTTAAATCGCTCCTAAAGTTATTGCTGGTGAGAGACCCATTCATGCTGCGCTTGGTTGATGAGCCTCAGATTCACAAAGGAGATTCAATAGTCTAAGAGTCTAGTATTCCTAACAAAGATTACTTGGGGGTAGTATTTATCTTCAGGATTTTAATCTACGACTTGGCAGTAGCACTTGACTGAAGCTTTATGGGTAAAGTAAGGTGAGGCAGCTCATCTTCTTTGTCAGCCGGGTAAGAGAGGGTCCGGAGTTCGTCATTGACCAATTCTTTTTGGCATCGTCTCTTCTTCAAGAGCCACTTCGGAAACCTGGGCAGGACCGTTCTGATGGGCTCAACCATACGATCCGAACTCAGCTTTGAACCCTGCTTAACCCACCCTAAGCCCCAGAAGCTTACCGTGCTCTTGTAAGCAACAGTAAAGGGTTGATTGGCCAGGATACGTTCTCTCCACACCACTGGTGCTGAAGCCCCAACTTTGCCCACGCAACACAACAGCATGCACAGCATCTACAGGTCGACCAGCTTTTGCATCTTTCATGACCTGGGTTACCAAGGGTTGTTAACAAAAATATAGTCTGTTAGTCGTCGAGCCTTGGGTACAAATCCTCAAGTGGAGATTGGCATAGTCTACTAGATTAGACGACAGTAAATTAAGAAGATGTGAAGTGAAGTTTATTATTTCATCCCATTGAAATTCTGCAACATTCTGAAACCATCTTCTTGCCATATGCAGCGGCAGCCCTCGCCCAGCATTCCAGTGCAGGCTTCTTGGTCTGCGCTCGGATGCCCGCTGCGAGAGGCTTGACATCGAAGAGTTGTGTGGTTAAAGTTGCCTAGGTATTTGACACTGACTCAAGCTATGAAATAAGGCTCTCCTCGACGGAACAAGTTGCATCAGAGAGTCCACTGGCAGATTCAACACATGTGCCATCCGATCAGCTGCCTCCTGGATATCGCCAGGGTCTTCATCCAGCTGGAGCAGCGTGGTGATGGAGTGGAAACTTTCAAAGCACGGCAACTCGGCACGGACAACCTCTTTCACTAGAGTCACCCATAGATGCATTCTTGCAGCCACTTTCCGTAGAAGTTGCTGTGTCAGCTGCTCTTGGCCACCGATTTTCCGAGTATGACCCGGGCCGTCAAAATGCAGAATAATCGGCTCGTTCTTGAGTAATGTCCTCAAAGGACCGTTTTGGGATTTAGGGGTTTAGGGTTTGGGGTTTAGGGTTTTGGGTTTAGGGTTTGGGGCCTCGAATACAACACCATCATTGTCATAATAATGCTTTGTTGTGTCAGAAATGAATGCAAGTGAGATGCAGCAGGAAATGTCCATACGTCCCTTTTGTTTGCCAGATGCGTCCCTGGCTGAAGAGATAGGTGATTCGATGCAGGAACCTCAATTGATTGAAATTTCTCGAGGACCCCTCGGCTAAGGAGTTTCACGTGACCGGGCTGCAGACCGTCCCAGCTCCTGCTGCATTGCGACACCATCAAGCTGATCAGTATCAGCCATTCGCACAATAACCATGTGCTCGTCATGGGCATCTGCAAGTGCCGCAAGTGTCCTCAAACATCCGTAACATGCAAGCCAGAATTACAACAAGTCTAAGTTGGTACAATCAACAACTAAAGCCAAGGCAGTGCCATCTCTGCATCACAGCGATGGAGCAGACCTGCCATCGCTTGACCCTCTGCCTGCAAGAGCACATGCGGTTTAAGGGTTTAATTTAATAGGGTTTTTTAAGGGTATTTAGGGTTTAGGGTT